CAATGAGTACAAACAATTTCACAATGATGCACAAAGATATATCAAATTTAAGCACAATAAAGAAAACTTAATTAAAGAGAAAAGATAAGAAATGCAAACCAAATATCAATCCAATAGTCTCTTCAATAGATGGCGATGCTAACCAAGATGTACAAGTGAAGGCTCACTCCTTCCTCACCCCAAACACACTTTGGTTGAGCCAAGGAGTTTTACAACTATTCTAGTTAACCCTCAACAACCTACACTTGAAAGATCACTCACCCAATTAAGAACTATTTTACACAAATGAGACAACTTTCACCAAGGTTTTACCACTTCAAGTGATAGGTTCACCTTCACCAAGGTTTTACTCCTCTTAGAGAATAACTTTCACTTGAGCAATCTCACAACCCAATTTTCCCAACCCCTTATACAACCAACAAAGAATCTTTCTACTCAAAAATCTCACTTGTAAGCTTGTATTTTGTGTTGGCAAAAGTCCCTTGTCTTCTTGTGCTTTGGGGTGTTTATAGAAGGTGAGAAATGGCTCCAAAAGGCTCTCCAACGGTCAAATATTAAATGCTGTCAAAACTAGCCGTTGGCCTGTCGGACGTCCGAACCACCTGTCGAACGTCCGAACCCTGCGTCCAAACCACCTGTCGGACGTCCGAACCCTGCGTCCGACCGTCGTCAGAGAGTCATCAAATCTTTGCGAAATTTCTCGGACGTCCGATGCGATCGATGTGCGTCCGATGCGTGCGTCCGTTGATGTTCTTCATCCTTTCGGACGTCCGATAGCTTCCTTTCGGACGTCCCACATGAGTGCCCTGTTTTTGCTTCTTCTTTTATGCCATAAAAATCTGTTCTAACAAATTACTCACATAAAAACATTAGTCCAAATCTACATTTTGGTTTGTTAATCATCAAAACCAAGAATTGATCGACCAAGGTCAACAATGAACCAAGCCAATCTCAAGCAAAAAGGTCAACCACTATGAGATGTGGTAACTGCAAAGCTACTGGACATAATACTAGAACATGTCAAAGAGCACCTGTCAGACAAAGGAGTACAAGTACCAGCACAAACAAGGTTCAGTCTAGTGGTTTAATTGAGAGACTTGAAATTGCTAAGCGAGCTTGTAATTTGTTATTAATTTTCATGTCAGGGAACTCAATTTGCTAGAGGAAAGCCAGGAAGGGGAATTGCAAATGCATGACTTGCAGGATCTGTTCTATGGGTTACAATTCTTTTAGATTCAGAAACAGACTTTTCTTATGTTGCTGTTGTCTGATGAGCTAATGCTTGCCATTGATTTGTGCAGGATCATGCTGATGGCAATGTGCCTATTGTCGTTTCTAGTCAAGACAGCAACCCAAGTCCATCAACTCAATCACCATTAATGAATGCTGACTTGAATTTGCAAACAGCAACCAATGCTACTAAGAGAAAGGTATTTGTTCCTTAATCCTTTTTTACAGATAGCTGTACTTTTAATGCTTATTTACATGCTTGTATATTACTACATGCTTCATCTGCAATTTCAGAGAGAACGACCTTCCAACAAATCTGCTCCCATCTGTTGTATATAACCCCAAAAGAAAAACTTCAACAGTAGCACCTCAACCATTTGCAGGAATGCATACTGCTGCACTACATCCCAATGGAAGTGCCCAAGTACAAACTGATGTCAACATCAACACTTCAGTTTCTCATGATTCTCACAATGTCAGTAGCAGTTTCACCTTTTAGTAGAATCTATTAAGAGTCTTTAGTTATTTGGATATCAGAGGACATGAATATCTGATCACTACTTGTCGACATTCGAGAAATGGCAATATCTGATGTCTTGGTTATCTAATTTTGGTATCTAAACATTAGTTATCTGATGTTTTGGACAAATATATCTTTTTGTATCAATTTGGATGCATGAGTGGAAACATTTGGCTGTTGTACACTCAAAATGCTTCTCAACAGAAACTGAAGTTCTATTTGCACTATTACTTGTACACTGTATTTTTGTATAATCTGTCATGTGGTATTCAATAAGCAAAACTGGAAGCACATGATAATGAATCTGATTTTTTACTATTATGAATCAATAGTCATTTGATATCTTTTACAGTCAACATAACAACATAGACAGCTAAAAATACAAGGTTCATTATAAGCATCAATTTCACTATGGAGTTGAACTTGACAGCATTCAAATTCTGCACTTGATCACCTCTTTGCATGATTGAATGTCCTCCTGCTCTTTGCCTGCTCACTTGACCATCTTCAGACCCTTCGAACCACTGAAACAATATCAACAACAAAATGTAAATAGCTATGAATAACAGGTTCATTATAAGCAGCCATTTCACAATAGAGTTCGACTGCTCTACTTTGGCAAACTGTATTTGATCCTCCTTTTGCATGTTTGAACGTTGATCTATTCTTTGGCTGCTCACTTCACCTTCTTCAGGTCCTTCGAACCACTGAAAGAATTTGCAATTTGAGCAGCAGAAATAGAGCTTGTTCGGATTCCTCCTGCTCTCAGAAATCTTAATACTTGCTTTCCGATGACAATGACAATATCTATTTCTTATTGAAAATGAAGTTGGTGAATTCCATGATGAATCTACCAGGCTTGAAGAAGCCATGTGTATCTGTTTGTACGTAGTTCAGCTTTGCTACTTGTATGAGCACTTTTGCAGAAACCTCAGCCACAACCCAACAACATTCACTGCTTTCTCTTGCAACTTCAGTAGGCAATTACATAGAGCTCCAAAGCAACACTACTGTTTCTTATTACCGTTACAAAGAACTGCTTTGAGAGCCGTTGGCATGAAGCAAAAGGCAATTTCTTGCAATACAGCCTTACCTTTTTCCATCAGTTTCACATACACCCCCTGCAATTTCAAAGGAACTAGATTCCATTGAAATTTTCAACATAAACATCCTCACTAATGACAATCTTAAGGGCAGAGGTGAAATTTCTTTATTTTCTCTCTCCTAAAACACATTTTATATTCATTGTCTACCTCAATTGGGTTAGACCTGAAACTATCTACTTAGTTTTAGGGGAGGTATAAGGGATTTTCGGAACTTCAGGGGAGGTCCTTGAGACTGTCAGAAACCTCAGTCGGAGTCATCTAGAGTTTGGAATCTCTCTAGAGTTTCGCGTGAATACCCCGAACGGTCCGGAGGCCGCGGCCCATTAGGCCCACCTGACGGAGAGGCGGCGGTGTCAGTCGAATTGGTGCTCTCTAGCCGACTTGGTTGATCCGAGCTGGCGGGCCACCATGGCCGAGCTGACACGTGACGACTGTCAATTGACCCCACTACATAACCTTTGCCAAATATTTATTCTGAAGAATGAGATTAAGATTTCAATGCCAATAATTTGAGGCTCAATGTAGAAAATTTGTAAATTTAGTGTACTCCTCTTCATTTTGATTTTATTTTTTTGACAAAATAACGTATTATATAAAATAGCAAGGTGGCAAAATATTTGCTTATCTATTTTGCTTAAGAAAAATTGATGTAGTTGTAAAAATTTATGTAAGCAACCATTGTTACTAATTGTTGACTAGTATTATTATATCAAACAAGACACAATGTACAACTTACCTCGCAAGTAAATTAATAGCATAGGGTTAAAGGCATTCTCTATGTTTGTGAACTTTTACTAAATTTAATATAATAAAAAAAGGAAAAAAAAGAAAGCGATGGATTTTTTTTTTTGGATGTTATCGTGGGTAATTATCTACTATCAGTGTGATTGGGTTGAGATAGAGATATATAAAAGAGAACACTACAAATATTACACCATCCCCTTAGTCTTGTTTTTCTAGGGCAGTAACAGAAATTGTGAAACATATTAAGATAATAAAAAGTAGCCCTAATTAATATTGGTTCACGGGGCACAAACGAGATGACCTACAACACGGGGGGCCAAAGTTGTAATTATTGACAAAGAAAATATGACATCAACTAATATTATGGGCCTGTTTGGAACCTGAGTTTTTTGGGAGTTTGTCTAAAACTTTACTGTAGTGCACTGTAGAAGTTTTTGAAAAAATTTTGTAGAAGTTTTTGTTAGGTGAAAAATTTTGTAAAAGTTTTTTGTAAGGTGAAAAACTTTTTTTTTTCCTTTTCTTTTTTTTTTCTTTCCCTTTCTTTTTCTTTTTCTTTTTCTTTTTCTTTCTTTCCTTTTTCTTTTCTTTCCTCTCTTTTTCTTCTTCTTCTTCTTCTTCTTCTCCGTTACCTCCACCACCCCCAGCTGCAACTCCACCTCCTGCGGTCCCCCTCTGCCCCTTCCCCTGCCTTCCCCCCCGCAGCCCCCCTCTGCCCCTCCCCCCGCCTTCCCTCTCTCCCCTGCCATCACCCTCCCTGCCGCCTTCCCCCTCCCGCCGCCGCCTCTCTCTCCCCATCTTCCAACCCGCAGCCCCCCTCTGCCCCTCCCCCGCCTTCCCTCTCTCCCCGCTTTCCTCTCTCCCCCGCCACCCCCTGGCCGCCCCTTCCCCCTCTGCCCCTTGGCCGCCCCTCTCTGTGCCGCCCCCCTCTGCGCCAGACGTAAGAGAGAAAAAAAAAAGACAAGGGAGGAAGAGGGGGAGAGGGAAAAAAATGGGGAAAAAAAAAGACCGGCACCGGCACCGGAAATTGGTGACGGAGCCGGCAATGGAGGTGGTAGTGAGGGAGGAAGAAGAAGAAAAGGGGAAGGGAATTTTTTTTTTTTTTTGTGTTTTAGATATTTTAAGTGTGTAGGTTAAAAACTTTGATAAGTTTTTTGGGGTTCCTGTAGCAAAAGTTGTTAAAAAACTAGTTTTATACAAACTTGGTAAAAAACCAAGCTTCCAAACAGGCCCTATATTATTTTAAACAATTTATTTTTTGACGAAATTACATCAAACTCCTGGGCCAAAAAGGGGATTATAAAAAGAAAAAGAAAAAGAAAAGACTCGGGTGGCGAAGACACACTCCTACGGTGCGTTTGTATATATATATATATATATATATAATATACCTCCCCTACGAGGATCCATTTCGGAGGAGCTCAGCAAAATGCCCTTCGTGACGGAGGGAAACAGAACAACCGAGCACCGCCGTGCTTCCTCTTCTTCCGAATTTCCTGTCTGTCAGATCACTAATTGAATTCATCTAACCTAGTAATAACTCCCCTTTCATCATTCAGTTCGCTTTTCTGTATTCACCCCGGTTAAAAACCCTCCACCTCCACTCAAACACTCTCTTAAACCCCCCCGTTCCCTTCTTCCTCAGTCCCCACTGTACAGTTTAATTTTCTTTCCCTCCCTCTAATTTTCGCTGCTCCTTACCCTGAGCCTAACTTACCAGTTTTACCGGAGGAATCGTTTTTTAATCGTCTACAATGAGTCCAGTTCAGAATTTCGAGCAACATTCTCACCACCTCGTCGAACCCGACCTCCGTATACTCTCTTCCTGATACCTTTATTTTGTAACTGTTTTTTTTACATGTAATCTATTGTTCAATTAATTTTTTTATTTTTATTTTTTTGGTTGTTTCTGGGAGCAGCAATTAAGACGAGGTTACAGATGGCAATGGAGGTTCGGGATAGTTTGGAGATAACACATACGGGGGAGTATTTGAACTTTTTGAAGTGTTATTTTCGAGCATTTTCAGTAATTTTATATCATATTACGAAGCCGCAATTTACTGATAACCCTGAGCATAAGCTGAGAAATATTGTGGTTGAAATTCTGAACCGTTTGCCACATAGTGAGGTTTTAAGACCATTTGTTCAGGAGCTTCTTAAAGTGGCAATGCACGTGTTGACTACCGATAACGAAGAAAATGGCTTAATTTGTATTCGTATTATATTTGACTTGCTTAGGAATTTTAGACCTACACTAGAGACTGAAGTTCAGCCCTTTTTAGATTTTGTTTGCAAGATTTATCAGAATTTTAGGGTTACTGTTAGTTACTTTTTCGAGAGCGGGGCTGTGGCAGTTCCCCCACCTGTTGCATCAGGGTCATTGGGGTCTGCATTGAGTGGGGATGATGGGAAGCCGATGGATGTTTCTGATCAAGTGGGCCCCTCAGGCGGGCATGTTACGCAAGGGCAGCTTAATCCTAGTACTAGGTCATTCAAGGTTGTCACAGAGAGCCCTTTGGTGGTGATGTTTCTGTTTCAGTTGTATAGCCGGCTTGTTCAGACAAATATTCCACATTTGTTGCCGCTAATGGTGGCTGCCATATCAGTTCCGGGGCCTGAGAAGGTTGCTCCTCATTTAAAGAATCACTTTACTGAGCTCAAGGGTGCACAGGTTAAGGTATGGAGTAGAAAATCTTGACATCAATTTTTTGGTTAATATCTGAAGTTGTTACCTGTACTGTTCCTTTTTGTCTTTTAGATATGGAAAACTTTGCTATTGTGAGGTGGTGTGTTCATGGGATTCTTTTTCATTTTCAATTCTTTTTTGGGGGCCGGGGGCAATGGGAGGGTTGAACTCCCATAACGTCCCGTGACAAAGTCAAGCCACTATACTGTTTGAGAGACATTGAAAGACTCTGGAAAAGTCTATTTTTCTAATTCACGTGTGTGTTCCAAATTGTACTGCAGTTGCAGTTGATTTAGGGGTATGCTGCTTGTTTACACGCATAAGCATATTGTTTGTTGTAGTTGGTGTTCCTGCTTGACCAACTGACAAAATTTTTAAGTTCTGTATACTAGACTTTATGATACTTGACCATCTTATGAAATTTGCAGCTGAATGGACATTCATCTTTTCTTTTTTTCTTGCTGTAATTCTCTTGATATTTGTTGCTAGGTTAGTTTGACACTGTTAATCTAGTAGACACCAGTGAACTTTCTTTGCCACTGGTTCATGTACGTGGTATCATTGTTAAGCAAAGAATTGTGCTGTGGAGATTGTGAGTGGAAGGTTGGTACGGTGATGTGGAGTTTTAGCTACATGGTTATGAGAGGGGGGGGGGTGGAACTTGAAGTACATATGCTTGTCCCATATCTTTGAGATCATGTGGAATTGTTTACCATTTTTTCTTACTCCTTTGATTTGTATGTGTATGCAGACAGTTTCATTCTTAACTTACCTGCTGAAGAGTTTTGCTGATTATATTAGACCACATGAAGAAAGCATTTGCAAAAGCATTGTGAACCTGCTTGTCACGTGTTCTGATTCTGTTTCTATACGAAAGGTGAATGGTTTGTCGTACTTCATCTAATGCAGCCCCTTTAATTGTGTATACATATTTTTGACCAACAAAGCTTCTTGGCTGCAGGAATTGTTGGTAGCTCTAAAACATGTTCTTGGAACTGATTTTAAGCGGGGTTTGTTTCCTCTAATTGACACGCTATTGGAGGAAAGGTAAACATTTTACTTCTTATTTGATGTTGTATCCATATTTCTAAGGTTGTCAAGTCACTATCCCCTTGTCTTGACAAACCAGAAAAAATATCATTATTTTCTCTATCTGGTTTTGTCTGATATGTACTGCATTCTGTACTATATTGCTGATTTTGTGTATTCTGTATGGCCCTGAATTTGTTGTATGCAGTGTAGACGATATAGCTCAGTAAAATGCTTGGCATGCCTTAATTCTTCCCAAAACCTTAATTAATGCTTGAGTCTAGTAGTGCTCATCAGCGTGTATTTAGATCTATTAATTGATGAAATAAAGCTTTTGTTACATCATTTCTCTCCATATGTGGTGCTTTGTGGGCGAGTCATTCTTTCTGTTAGCTTTTAGAGGTCCCACTATTATGTGATCAATCTTTTGTGAACAAATATTTGGCCTTTGTAGACTGAATGTGTGAATTACTTCCTGATGCATGCATCTTTTAGTTGCTTGTTTTCTCAAATCTTTTGGTTTGTTACAGGTAAAAGGGTAATTAATCAATTTACTCTTTTGCTTTGGTAGTCATTCTCACCTCTGAGATTTATGTTGCCATGAATTGTATCAGGGTCCTTGTTGGAACCGGGAGAGCATGCTTTGAGACTTTAAGGCCTTTGGCCTACAGTTTACTGGCAGAGATTGTTCATCATGTTAGGGGAGATCTTTCTTTGTCTCAGGTATGATCAGAGTAATGTGTTGGTTTATCATTTTCTTAGAACCAGTAGCGTAAATTTCTTTGCGTGATTTTGGGAAGTTGGTGTTGGTTGTAATGCAAGTTCCTTTCTGCTGGCTTTATGACTATTCATCATACATGAAGCTTGCCCTGCAGAAAGTTTGTGGGTTAAGGACGATGGTGTCAGTGGGTTTTTTTTGGGGGGGATAGTTGCTGTACTGATGTGCCTTTTTGCTGGCATTGTTAGGAAGTTTTATGATGTTGATCCGTATTCTGATATTCTATTCTTTGTGCGGGTCTGTGAGCGCCCAAAGTTGTACATTGACCCTATAGGATAAAGATAGTTGGATTGAGCAGAAACTTGTTAAAACAGAGTGTGATGGAAAATATCTGATTTTTTCTCTTTCTCCTTACTATCACTTCCTCTTGACTTAAGAGTATGTTTAGAAGACAACTGCATTTGAAATTTGTCTGGGGACTATAGCAAGGATTCTGGATAAATAATGGTGCAAAATGTCAATGATAAGGCTAATGTCTCATGAGTACTGAAACTGCATTTCTTGCTAGCAAGGCAGCTAAGTTGTGGGCTCAGTTTTTGAGGAAAGGAGTTTAAGCTTTTCCAAGGAGCTTTGTGAGATGAAACCTTTTTGAGGATAACAAGTTATGAGGTTGTCCAGCGTTGGAAGGCTGTGTAACCTCAGATGGGCATGTCTAGGATCAATGAGCATGTGTTCCCATTTTAGCACATTTGGGGTTGAGATGAAGTTGGATGAAGGGGATTGGACAAACAGGGTTGAGGAGCAGCTCAGATTCTCAGGAATCTGTTCTTGAAGATGTTGGCTGAACCCTTTTCTAGAGGACTGCAAAAGCTGAAAATCATTTGCTTGGTCAGCTTTTCAAGGGCTTCCGGTTGGAGCATTGAAAATCTCTTTGAGCAAAGTTCATTTTGATGTCTGTGCACTTGTTTTGGTGTTTGAACTCCATGAACTTCTGATTACTTTTAATGAGAGCAAAAGTTTTTTTATCATATCAGATGATACTGGGACGTTATTCCTTTGCTGGAAAATTGAACATGGGATTTAGTCGTCCTCTTCCTAAAAAAAGTTTTGCCTGAGATATTTTCTTTGAGTGTCCATGAACTTTCTATGAGACTAAGCAGTACAGGATTATCTGGTGTGCAACTTGGGTTGTATTGGATGTTCTTTGTAGTATTGCATCAATAGTGCCCCAATATGAACAATTGAGGTTTGAGCAAATGCTGATTTTGGACAAATAAGCCAATTTACCTTTAAATTATTAGTATTTGGAAGCAGTTTATTTGGAGACGTGGAAAAAAGGTTGATTGTCCAAGTTACTTGGAAAATAACTTTTTTTTTTGTGTTAAATAATTTAAACCCAAAACATGGGCACTCAATCTAGACCTGGTGTCATTTTGTTTGAACTAACAAGCTTTGGCAACAGCACTTTTTCTTATAGGATTGATTATACATTTACTTACAGTTCTCACAGTGTAATTGTCATGGGCATTCATGATTGATTTGTAGTCTACGGATCCTTACATGCAGTCGTAATTTGTTCCAGCCTGTGGTATCATATGAACTGTGACCACGTGTCTCCAGAACTTGAACAATGTTTTCCAATAATTGATCCATTGATTTCCTTGTGGTGCAGTTATCGAGGATCATTTACTTGTTCTCAAGTAACATGCATGATGCTTCATTGTCACTCAGCATTCATACTACGTGTGCTCGCTTGATGTTAAATCTGGTAGAACTTCTAATCAACTCTCTTAGAAAGATTATTATTTCTTTTATCGAGCAAAATATTTTCTCAAGACTAAAGCCTTGATAATGTGAGTTTGCAACTGCTCTTCTGATATGTATTATTGTCCTCTTTTTCTGATTGTAGGTAGAGCCAATTTTTGAGAAAGGCGTTGACCAGCCAACGATGGATGAAGCACGAATTTTATTGGTTAGAAACCCATTCAACCAGTTTGCTATTTCACACACACACCCACACAAAAGTGTACGAGTTATATTTCCAGAATTGGAATAAATTATGGTTCTCTTCCATTTAGGGTCGAATTTTGGATGCTTTTGTTGGAAAATTTAATACTTTCAAGCGCACTATTCCCCAGGTATTAGAACTTTCACATACCTTTCAACATTTAGTTCCTCTTAAATCATATTTAGAAAAGTATGTGCTAAAGTATCTGAGAATTTCCAACTTTTTGCTAGTTTCTCTGTTCCTCTATTGGTTGGCTGGTCACATCTTTGCTGAATTGATTCAGGTGGTGCTGCTGGCGTAGATTTTGGTTTTATGATGTATGACTAAAACAACCATGTAATATATACTGAAAGAGGCGCTGTTATCAGGCTAATACAGCCATGTTAAACATTGACCAATTAATTGCAATTTGATTTCTGCTATAAAATCCAATACTTTTACTTTGAAATGGGCTTTCTAGTAGCCTGTGTCTTGTTAAGAATTGTAAACCAATTGCATGATCTGCACGCTACCTGCATAAAAGAACCTGATGGAAGTGATGGTCCTCCTTTTAGATGACTTATGACATCGATAAACATCTGGTTCAGCATTACCTAGAGTAATCTGTAGTTTGAGAAAAAGGAGAGCCTTTTCAACCAATAATCTTTCTGAATGTGAATGGAAAAGCATCTCCAACTTTGTGAGAGATAATCTAAAATTCAAGGTACTACACTTCTGATTTGAACTACGCAATTTAATTAGAAAAGCATCTCAAAGTTTGCAAGAAATGATTTGTAGTACAAGCACTTGTAAGATGAACTGCTCACCTCTATAATATAGATACTTGCTTTAGCATGTAATACATGGAGGTGAAACATGTCGCTTTATGAAAAATTTGTAATTTATCAATTCATTCGGTTTCTAGATGCTCTAAAAGATTGTTCATTGTGCAGTATTCTTATCATGTCATTGATATTTTTTAACCGACTTTGTCCCCCAAAATTTAGATTTGCTGAAAATTTTTGGCCAATGCTTACGTTCTTCATCAAAATGTTCTCTTGTTTTTCCCCTCAAGTTTATACATATGCAAATTATTTTGATCACTGCCATTTCTCATAAATTGAAACTGTTGCTCCAAAATACTCCCACCGTCCCAAAAAGTTTCACTTTTTTGGGAACAGAGCCTTTTGTGAATAGTATAGAAAGAGAATAAATAAACTCCTAAACTCGCTAAAATGGCCATTATTGGGCTGCCCAAACCTTGTACAAAGTAAAGCATTTATGCTGCCCGAATTGTGTCTGCCGTCAAGTCAAAGTGTGGACCCCATACATTTAATTAAAGGTACCAACCAACTTATTGTCGTGTGCTGCATGCACAAAACCAGTTGGTGCATACTGTTGACACACTGCCTTAATGCATGCATAATTTTTGATAAATTTTGTTGGACCCACACATATAATTGTAGTACTTTGAGGATAAAAATGGAAGGAGGAGAAAATTTCACTTGCTATTTTTGGTAACATGACATAATTTTGGGATAGATCAAAAAGGAAAGTTTGACACTTTCAATGGGATGGAGGGAGCACGTTTTATTTGTTTAAAAGTTTGGTGCTGGTTATATATGCCTTTACCATTTTCCATTTGATTTTACAAAGTCGTTTGCTTTGCTATTACGTGCAATATGACTTTTGGTTGTTTACTTTTCTGTTTTCTTGTGGGCAATAGCTACTGGAAGAGGGAGAAGATGGGAAGAATAGGTCAACTTTAAGGTCAAAATTAGAACTTCCAGTCCAGGTACTTTGAGAACTTTACTCTTCTGTAATGAAATTCTGCTTCTAATTTTTTCTGTTTTTGGGTGATATGCTCATAGGCCTTTTGCTATGATTTTGCGGAATGTTGTCTAATATTATGATTAATAATAAAAATTAGGAAAAAGAATTGTCAGATGATCTACTTTATGACCATCTTTCTCTAGAAGCTAATGATTGCAGTTGCAGAGAAGTAGTCTGGTGTAGTTCTAATCCTGTGATTTTTTGATTATATTGGTTATTTCTTCGTTACCGTAATGGTTTTGAACGAGTTGTGTACCACCAGTAGCAAGTCCACATAGATGAGGCCACATCCAGGAGAAGGTTTAAGTAACCCCAAGAGGGGATAAATATTGAGCAAAAATTGGTCAAGCTAATTTGGACATGTTCAAGTATGGGATAGTGGAACTCACTATGAGTGCGTCTCATGAAGTTGTAAAACGAATGTGGATACTCGTGGATTAAAGGAGGGACTGTTTTGGATCGAGTTAAAAGTGGAACAAGATTATAAATAGGACCCTGAGTAAATGGCTGTCAAGTTTAGTGGATACCTGTCTACAGCTACAATTCTTCCTTTCGAAGTATAATTTAACTGTATTTTGGCCATTTTGATTTATTTCCAAAGAGGGCCTATGAGTCACTGAAAGACTAATTTCCTATCAGAAGCTGCATGCACGTGGAGTATAATAATTTTAACAACAGTAAAAAGCAGTCCCATGCAGAACTACTTTCTGCGATGTTTTTTGCAAATGCTTTCCTGATCTTCAACAGAGCTTACAGTACTGTTTCTGGATTTGCAAGTCTTACATTTCATAGATCAGAGGTTTCCTTGCTTTGATGTTGGCATACTTTTGCCATATAATGTTAAAACTGGGTATGCATTTGACTGCCTTGCCTGCCTATTGACTGCATGCATCATGACATGTAAACTCTCTGTTGTATCTGTATTTCTATATTTCCCTTTTGAATTAACACTGCCTGCTTTTGATCACTTGTCATACTTTGCAGGCAGTGCTAAATCTGCAAGTTCCTGTGGAGCACTCCAAGGAAGTTAGTGATTGTAAGCATCTGATTAAAACATTGGTCATGGGTAATTGCCTCATCCATTCTTTACACTTCAAATTCAGTTGACTATTTTGAATTACTGAAAATTTGATACCTAATGTATGATTTTTTTTATTTTTATTTTTTAAAATGAGTTTCTCTTTGTTTGCTGATTGCTTATTTTGTATTATGGGATTTTATTGCTATTCCAGGAATGAAGACCATTATTTGGAGCATCACTCATGCACATCTACCCCGATCACAGGTTTTTCACGTCTCTTCCTTTATAATTCATTTCTATCATCGGTTAGTTTTATATCAGGTAACCTTTTGTCATTTTAGGTTTCACCATCAACACATGGGACATCATCTCAAATTCTTGTTTCTGCAACATCAGGTTCATCAGTACCACAGTCCTTCAAAGGGATGAGAGAAGATGAGGTACCATCCTTATTATGAAGTTTGCCTAGTCATTCTTTTGCTAGGATGTTCTTACTCAATTTTCTACAGGTGTGGAAAGCGTCTGGCGTATTGAAGAGTGGTGTGCATTGCTTGGCTCTGTTCAAGGAGAAGGAAGAGGAAAGGGAAATGATTCATCTCTTTTCCCAAATTCTGGCTATTATGGAACCCCGAGATTTGATGGACATGTTCTCCTTGTGCATGCCTGAGCTGTTTGAGTGCATGATTTCAAATACTCAGCTGGTCCACATCTTTTCAACCCTTCTGCAGGCAGCTAAGGTTTTTCGGCCATTTGCAGATGTTTTGGTGAATTTCCTTGTGACTAGTAAACTTGATGTTCTGAAGCAGCCAGATTCACCTGCAGCAAAACTTGTTTTGCATCTTTTCCGCTTCTTATTTGGTGCTGTTGCAAAGGCCCCTTCGGACTGCGAACGCATTTTACAGCCTCACGTGCCTGTTATAATGGAATCTTGCATGAAAAATGCAACTGAGGTTGAGAAACCAATTGGTTACTTGCAACTTCTTAGAACAATGTTTCATGCACTTGCGGGTGGCAAGTTTGAACTTCTTCTCCGAGACTTGGTTCCTATGCTGCTACCCTGCTTAAATATGCTGTTGGCTATGCTTGAAGGACCTACCGGTGAAGACATGAGGGAACTTCTTCTGGAACTCTGTCTAACTCTGCCTGCAAGGTTAAGCTCATTGTTACCTCATCTTCCTCGCCTTATGAAGCCTCTGGTGATGTGTCTAAAAGGAAGTGATGACCTAGTTAGTCTTGGTTTAAGGACACTTGAGTTCTGGATTGATAGTTTGAATCCTGATTTCTTAGAGCCGAGTATGGCGAATGTCATGTCTGAGGTGATTTTGGCATTATGGTCTCATTTGAGACCTGCACCCTATCCTTGGGGTGGAAAATCATTGCAACTTCTTGGTAAATTGGGTGGTCGTAATAGACGTTTTCTCAAAGAACCTCTTGCACTTGAATGCAAGGAGAATCCAGAGCATGGACTTAGATTGATTCTTACATTTGAACCCTCCACACCTTTTTTGGTTCCACTTGATCGTTGCATAAATCTTGCTGTGGCTGCTGTCATGAACAAAAATGGTGGGGTGGATCCGTTTTACCGAAAGCAGGCTCTAAAGTTTGTCCGTGTATGCTTGTCATCTCAACTTAATTTGCCAGGGATTGTTACTGATGAGGGATCAACATCTAGGCAGTTGTCAACTCTCTTAGTTTCATCTGTTGACCCATCTTGGAGAAGATCTGAGACAGTAGAAATGAAGGTTGGTTGTGTGGTTGATTGTCTGTGTCACAGTACCTTACTGGTTGATTCTATTATTCCACACCTGTTGTATGGACTCTAAAGTTTTTCCCTGTTGCTTTATAGCTTCATTGACTGATTAAAATTTCCTTCTGATACTTGCATGAGTTGTAATACCAATTTTTTTTTTTTTTGGATTTATTGCTAGCCTTACTTCTCACTATGATTGCTGAGTAGTGGCACTGAGTAATACGTATGCTACAAGACCTTATCCAAGTACTCGCTTACATGTTTACCCATCATGGCACAGCTTTTCATGAGCATATGTAGTCTTCTGGTTATTTTTTGACCTTTCAAATGGTTACAGTTCTAAGCTTGCTGCTTCTCACCACTGCTTCCCTTCTTTCATAATTGCAATTTTAGTCTTTTTTACTCTTTTCTTTTTATCTCTGTTTGTGTTATTATAGGAGTGGTGAAAATTAGGATGAACTTTTTTTGGTTAATCAGTTTACTTTCAAACATGCAAAGTAGTGTAAGCTATCATAATTTTGCAGTTTTTATCTTTAACACAAGTCTCCTGATGATATTTTGTACTTTTTACGCAGTTCCCGACTGATTTCCATTTTTTAAATGGATTTGTTCTCATCTTAGTAAATAAGTGCTTCTTTGTTTCAATGACCAATGAGAATTAATCCAAAAATGAAGCTTGATGTGTTTTACTTGCCTTGAATTTGTGCTTTCATAAATTTTGTTGCTGAGTGGTTCTGAACATTTTACGGCAATAATCTCTGCTACATTCCAATCTATTTATGTAGGCTGACTTGGGTGTCAAGACGAAGACCCAACTCATGGCTGAGAAATCTGTGTTTAAGATTCTCTTGATGACCATCATTGCTGCAAATGCTGAACCTGATTTGCATGATGCTAATGATGACTTTGTTCTCCATGTTTGCCGCCATTTTGCCATGATATTCCACATTGACAATTCTCTGACACATACATCAATTGGTGCCTCTTCACTTGGTGGTCCTCTTCTTGCTCCCAGCTCCAGTATTAGTTCAAAATCAAGAAATACTGGACCTTCTAACCTGAAAGAGTTGGACCCATTAATATTCTTGGATGCTTTGGTAGATGTACTGGCAGATGAAAATAGACTTCATGCTAAAGCAGCTCTAGATGCTCTGAACATATTTGCTGAGACACTTCTGTTTCTTGCTCGCTCAAAGCATTCAGAGATTTTAATTTCAAGAGGTGGTCCTGGCACACCTATGGTTGTTTCTAGTCCATCAATGAGTCCTGTGTATTCACCACCTCCAAGCGTACGTGTTCCAGTTTTTGAGCAACTCCTGCCACGGCTTCTACATTGTTGCTATGGCAGTACTTGGCAATCACAAATTGGAGGAGTTATTGGCCTTGGTGCTATGGTTGGGAAGGTTACTGTTGAAATTTTATGCCATTTTCAAGTACGGATTGTTCGGGGGCTAGTATATGTTCTCAAAAGGCTTCCTATCTATGCATCAAAAGAGCAGGAAGAAACTAGTCAGGTGCTAACCCAAATTCTTCGTGTGGTGAATAATGTTGATGAGGCAAACAGTGAAGCTCGCAAACAAAGTTTCCAAGGAGTTGTTGAATACCTAGCATCTGAGCTGTTCAATGCAAACTCATCCATTAATGTAAGAAAGATCGTGCAGTCTTGTTTGGCACTTCTGGCAAGTAGGACAGGCAGTGAGGTTTCTGAGTTACTTGAACCTTTGTACCAACCTTTGCTTCAGCCTCTTATCTTGCGGCCTCTTCGGTCAAAAACTGTTGACCAACAAGTAAGTTCTTGTTGTGTTTGTTTTCTTGCATTTGTTGTTTGTTGTTCATTACAGAAGAAACAATATAAGATTTATTTTGTGGTCTGTTTTATACAATTCCTAGGTTGGGACGGTCACAGCTTTGAATTTCTGCCTAGCTTTGAGGCCTCCTCTGCTTAAGTTGACTCAGGAGCTAGTCAATTTCCTGCAAGAGGCTTTGCAAATTGCTGAAGCTGATGAAACTGTTTGGGTTGTGAAATTTATGAACCCAAAGGTGGCCTCATCATTGAATAAGCTACGGACGGCTTGCATTGAACTGCTGTGTACTGCTATGGCGTGGACGGATTTTAAAACACAGAATCACTCTGAATTGCGTGCAAAAATCATTTCTATGTTTTTCAAATCTCTAACAAGTCGGACACCTGAAATTGTAGCTGTTGCAAAGGAAGGTCTAAGACAGGTCTGTTGAATTTCTTTTCCTTTTGTTGTCTTCACTTTTTCTTCTGGGCTGTACGCTATAATTCAGACACATAGCATTACTACCCCAGACCTGACCTAGATCTAAGTCTCTTGTCTGATTCTGTCTTTTGAGGCTTTAGACCCTAGCTCAGCAGGGCACCTGTGTTAAGGGGTCTGGAATTTCTTTGAAAAACATTTTCCTATGTCTAGTATTATGAAGCATTTCTGTGTCACCACCTGTACTTGCAATTTTCTGTTCTTTTCCTAGATTCACAAATTCAATTACTGTCAATCCACATGGTTTGGACTTTCCTCGTTGAAGTTTTAAATTTTTTCAAAATTTGAGGTCTTGCCTTTATAATCTCCCAGCATAATTTCTACTTTCCAGAAATAGAAACTCTTAAACACAAATTGTTGCCTAGCCTTAAGACTTGTGGATTCACATCTTCTCCACTTGCTTTTCAAATTCAATTAACCATTTAAGAGTGGTTCCCTGTAATTTTATTTACTCTTTATAAAACCCTGTGACCAGCAAATTAGGTCGTTTAGTTTTAATCTGGGCTGAAAGCAGGGTATATTTTTCAATTAATTTTTATTCATGCCAAACCAAATCCAGACATACATATTGAAGGGAAATTCTATATTTTGATGTGTGTTTGTTATTTTAATTTTTTTGATTATTTGAATGGGTGATGGTGATATGTGACTTGACTAAATTGTGTTTCTTTGATTTCTAAAAGTATGTTAGCATAATTTTGTCAATAGTTTTCCTCAAAGCTCAGGTGTCTTAAATTTTCTTTTAGCCCTCATTGAGCTTTAAAGTTGCTCCTGACTGCATATGATGCATTCTGATCAATTGTTATTGAATTCCTTATTCCATAGCATTAGTGGTTAATAGTTGCATTGAAATCTGTTTGACTATTGCGCGTCTGCCTGCAGTGCTGTAAAGCACTAAGACTAGGAATCTCTTGCCTACACATCTCCACCTGCACATTTTTCTGATGAAAGATGATGTGATTGCACATATTTACTGGTTTATGCTGAGTTAGGTTTTATTTTTACATCCCTAGTAGTTAATGATGCTTCACAAGTGCATGCATGTTACAATGCCTAATCGTCATGCTTAATAGGGTTGGTTCTTAAATAAACTCTGCTATTTGATGTCATAAAAATTACCATCCAGCAATTAATAGTTGTTAATAACCTTTTGTAGGTTATACTTCAGCAAAGAATGCCTAAAGAACTTCTGCAAAGCAGCCTGAGGCCTATCTTAGTTAATTTGGCACATACAAAAAATTTGAGCATGCCTCTTCTGCAAGGGCTGGCCCGTCTGCTTGAGCTTTTGTCCAACTGGTTCAATGTAACTTTAGGCGGTAAATTGTTGGAGCATCTGAAAAAATGGTTAGAACCTGAAAAGCTTGCGCAGACTCAGAAGTCTTGGAAGGCTGGTGAAGAACCTAAAATTGCTGCTGGCAAGTCATATAGCCTGGAATTCCTTTTATCGGTGCCTGATTCATTAAGTGCATGTTAGCATATACTGTTGTTTGTCTAGATGTACTTATATTTTTTTCGTTTTGTTGGTAAATTTTCCTGCAGCAATTATTGAGCTTTTCCACCTGCTTCCTTCGGCTGCTGGGAAATTCCTTGATGAGCTTGTAACTTTGACTATTGATTTGGAAGGTGCCCTTCCACCAGGGCAGTTCTATAGCGAGATTAACAGTCCTTATCGCCTTCCTCTCACTAAGTTTCTAAATCGATACCCAGCTGCAGCTGTTGATTATTTTCTTTCTCGGTTATGTCAACCCAAATACTTCCGCAGGTAATATTTGTTTTGCAGATCAAGAATTCTTGGTGTACTTTTAGGTTATACCGCTGATTGCTTTTTATTCTATAATTTGTGCCTTTTAGGTTTATGTATATCATACGGTCGGATGCTGGCCAACCCTTGAGAGAAGAACTTGCTAAGTCACCTGAAAAGATAATAGCAAGTGCATTTCCTGAATTTTTACCCAAATCTGATGCATCAACAGCCCAGGGATCTTTTAACCATCCCACCACTGTGGGGAGCGACGAATCACTTGGCTATAAACCTGAGAGTTTAATTCCGATTTCTACCAGCACTAGTGGATTGGCAGATGCTTATTTCCAGGGTCTTGCTTTGATCAAGACTTTGGTTAAACTGATGCCTAGCTGGTTGCAGAGTAATCGGGTTGTTTTCGACACATTAGTTCTTCTGTGGAAGTCACCAGCAAGAATTTCACGGTTACAAAACGAGCAGGAGTTGAATTTGGTGCAAGTAAGTTTACTGCTAATCTGAAAGTTCATAGCCTAAAATTTCTTGCCTAAAATGAAAATGAGCAGAATTTCAGATATCTGTTTCATGGTTGGAAAGTTATCTGTCTTGATTTTGACATGACCAGGATAACCATACTTTATGATTGATGTATCTGTTGGTGCTGCCAGTGACAAATCATTTATATGATGTCTGATGTGTTGATTTGTAGTGTTCTTATGTTGTTGTAGTCATGGTTTTTTCCTGCCTCCTTGCAATGTTTATTTTTTCCTGGGGTTAGGTTAAGTGTACCTCTTTGCTATCACTTATACTTCTCATATCATTTTTGTTCTGTCACTAGTTTTCAATCTACATCATACCTAGGGTCTCTTTTTCCTTACGTGTGGGGAGAGGGTTGATTTAATGGTCGAGGAAGAATCTTGGCCTCTCTAATCTCTATTGTGAAGTCAAAAGGAGAAAAAGCAGGTAAAAAGGTTTCAGATAATTATGATGCCATGAACACTTAAGGCTTCTCCGACCTTTTCTTGTGGGATTGGTTGCTTTGCTTGAACTTAAACTTTATGCTGTGTCATGCACCATCAGCCCAGCATTTGAATGGACATATCTGTGTGCGATTATCAGATTTGTAAGTTGTTGAATGTTCTTCCTGTCTTTTTTGAATGTACATATCTACGGCTTCAAGTTTGAAAGGTGCAATTGTTTTCTGATGTTGGTGGGCTAATTGTTGTGCCTTTCAACTCTCCTGACTTGGAGGTCTTTATGATACAACTGTCTTGTGCTTGTATGACAAGATTTTTCCAAATCTGTGGCCAAGTTTTTATTAATTGGCAATAGCTGCAGTTCACCTAAATGGTTTTAATCCCTCCCTAACTAGTCAACCTCGACAAATTTGGAATTCAGGGAAGGTAAATGGGTGTAGTTGCGGAAGGATTAATAATCTTTTGGGGAATAGCATTATATGTTTATTTAGCTCAACTCTCTTTGGATATATTCTTTCCAGCCCATTTTATTAATCTTGATTTCTATTTTAGTTTGTGCCAAATTTATTTATCATGGTCTTAAAAGGAAAATGAAAAAAGACTTAAACAGCTAGCAATGAAAGTAACATTTCACTTATTGAAGGCCGATTCTGGCCGTACTGGTAATCAATCCTCCTACTTTTTGTCAAAACTTCATTTCTGCAGAAATTACCTTTATTTCCGAGTGTTAATATTTTTTTTGGGGTATATTCTTTATGTGCCGAATAGGTGAGAACACACATTCAACTATTTGCATGAAAATTGATGGCTATGAGACAGCACTCATCTTAGAATTTGGAACTTTAGAGTGAGCACAAATTAGATTTTGCAATTGAATACGCTACCTGGATTCTGTGTAAAATATGTTGCATTTTTAGTAGGATGTGTGACTGCTCACTACGAAAACGATTGCTCTCGCAAATTGTGACATATTAGCTCAAAAATTCCTTGGCTCCTCGTTAACCAAAGGCTATGTTTCATTCACTTCTCAACAGAAGCTTACTTCCGTCACCAAACACCTAGAGGCCAAATGATCTTTTAGCACCAGTTTTGACTCAAAACAACTTTAAGAAATTGTAAACCAAAACATAATAATATCGCAAGAGATAAAACTGAATTGATGAGTATTGTAGTATTCCAGAAACAAGTTCAAACGAATAGGTCAACGAGAAGACAGAGAACAGAAATGATGCTGTCGCGAGCAAGACAACCAAGAATTCCATCATGACAAAACAACCAACAATGAACTAACTGGAGAAATTCAGTCATCAGGGAAGCGAAGGTGTTTCCCTTTTGGTGTTGGCAAGCCCTTCAATTTCAAGACGCTTGGCGAAGCAGTTGATGCCGATTCACTCTGTAGACCACAAACTTCCTCCTCTCCTTCGAGCTCGTCATCACTGTTGTAGACAAACCGAGTGTGCTTGCCAGCAAATTCTCCCATAGTCCCCTCACCATTCACACGGATCTTGCTGATTGCATCACACAGTTCATCAACCAATTCTAAATCATCTTCCTTTTCTTCTTCTTCATCATAATAGTAGTCATTGTCGCACTCCTCTTCAACTCCATCAAGGCCTTCCTCATCGTCTTCTTCTAGATCATCTATAGTACTTGCATTAACCTGAATGGACCAAATAGATGAATCATCATCATCAGTGGTTGCCCTTTCTTTGCCTTCGCTCTCTCCCCCTTGGTACGTCACCCCAGATGAACATTCAGATCCTTCTGATTTTTCAGAAAAATCCAGTATCAGAGACCTTGTAATCATCGAACTCTTGTCGGACTGATTGCCCTCTTGTTTCTTTCCATCAAAAATCTCACTAACCATCTATATAAACATTCCAAAAAACAAAAAAGGTATGAATTAAAAAAAAGGCCATATAAAGACGAAGAATACAAGAAAATACAAATTTAGTTTCTCTTAATTTAAAAAGAATAAAAAAGTTTAGAAGATGAAAAAACCTGAGAAATGATAAAATTTTCTTCTACAGGAGATTGGGTTAAGGAAGCCAACCCACTGGTGTGGGAACTGCCATTGGCAGAGAGGTTCAGGATTTGTGGGGTATTCGCTGGTGTAGGGGCTGCAAGAGTCAAAGGAGAATTAATGAAGGCTTGGAGGTGGAGGAAAGGCCTATTTTCCGAAGACAATTTGGAGTGCTCAGCCTCTTCTTCAACTTTCTGCAGTAAAGTCTTGACTTGCCCCCTCAAAAGTGCTTCCCCTGAACCAGGAGTGCCATCATGCTTCGCTCTGCTGCTAAATCTTTTCTTGGACATGGCTGACGATGGGGTCTCCAAACTTCCCATTGCAAGCCCAACTATTGGAGAATCATTGGTGATATCAATCAGGGCTGAGCGATCTTGCTGCTTCCCGTTCTTTCTGTGTCTTGATTTTGTCAGACCAGTTTCAGATTCTTCAATTTTCCCTGAAGAAACAAGAAAAATCAAAATTAAGTCCTTAAATTTATTATCCCAGAATCTCTTATTTTGCACAGAGGAAAGAAAAATGGAATTGAACTGTTATATTTACTTAATGTGGAAACGCTAGTAGCACTGCTGTTTGCGGCAGCAGCGGACAAGGTTTGTGATCTTGTGACTCTTCTCGTCGATGATGGAGTCTCCATTGGAATTGCGGAAAACCAAGAGGAAAAAAAAAAAAAGAAATAAGAAGATTACGTCTTGGCTGCAGAAAAAATTGAACTTTTCCGATGAGGGATGAAAGCAGATGGATGGACACAAATTGTAAGAAAGGAAGAAGGAGATGTTTTGTGGGCAGAAAGGTGATGGTCTTATACAAATATTAATTGAGAAATATAGGGTTGGGACTTCGGAGACGGAAAATGTGACCGTTAGAGCGTGATAAGGCGGCGTTACGTAACTAGCCGTTGAGATTTGAATGGAGGCAGAGGCAGGGCAGGCCTGGAGCTACTACCCATTTATCTGGTTTTACTGGGCACGTCGTGATCGTTGGATGCTCAGAGCCCAGTCCCAAATGGGCATGTCATTTACAGCCCAATAGTTCAAGTCTGCGAATTGGAGACCGCGACGTCCCATCAGACAATGCCCAGTACTTATTTGATATTCCTATTTATTTCCCGAACAAAAAGGCAAAAGGAAATCTGGGAATTGTTTCACACACCTGTCTAAAGACAGATACAGCCTGTCCTTTACTTTCCTGTCCATCTTCTGGACCAACTAATTTCCTTGCTCACTACTACGGCCCTCTTTACAATTTGTGTCAATAATGCCTTTCAATATTTGCCAAATCCCACAGGAATTTGGCGCATAAAGCTTTTTTTTTTTTATTATGCATAATGTGACCAATTATTTATTATTAGTAAAATCAGGTATAGAATTTCAATTGGACTGCATTTTACTTGGAGCATGCACAAATTTTATTTTGCTTTATTTTTTCGAATAAAAATATATTTCTCGACCGTTTTTTCAGTTCACATGTATTATTGAAACTTTACGATACATTTTTTTTTTCTACAAAAATTCTAAAAAAACAGACGGGCTATTAACATCGCGCAAGCCAGCTGTCTCTGAGAAGGCAATTATCTGTCTTCCACCTCCGTACTGGATGCATGATCATCATATATATATATGTATACTTACTGTACAATGGATGACATGTAGTAAGTAATAATGATGCATGTACTCGAAAAACAATAAAGGAGTGTGACAGCTAGGGCGTGGACCGTGGAGACAGTGTGGGTCGCCGGGGTTTGTTTCTGACATTTGATCAGAGTCAGACCTACCTGCCCGCCCTGGTAAAGCTAAACATTTGTCCACCTGATTTATTCAAAGCTCACCGGCTAGTTGTACCATTTTGGATTTGGTGGGACACCCACACCACTTGAAATTGGATACTGTTAAAAGAGTGGCATCATAATTAAATAAGATTTTTCTCTCTGATGAATGTCCAGTTTTTTATGAATACATTTATCATGTGAATTCATACAATTTTTTTTTTAATTAAACAATTTAACATATGAACTGCACCTTATTAGGGAGTGTTCACTGGGCATTTGCTTGACAGATCTATAAGGGGATTTTCTCATAATTAAATACTTGAGTCGTCACACACACGGAGTATGCTTGGATAAGTTATTATTTGAAAAAAAATTAATTATGTTATAAATACATTTTTGGCCTCACAAATCCCAATCACTTTTTTATCTTCCCAACCACCTTTTTATCTCACATACATCACATCACAAAAGTGCTACAGTAAATATCTCAAATAAATCATCCAAATAAACTCTTATCCAAACAAACTCACTATTGATATTCGAATAAGCTGTTATTAGATGGATGCTCACAATTATTTTTAGCTCTTGAATTGCAAAATAGCTTTTTTATTATTGCTATTGACAAATGCGAGTGGTTAGATCTAAACTATCATTTAATAATTACAACATAGCTTTCAAAAGAGTAGAGTGTTACGCTGCCAACTGTGGTTGACCAAGGCATTGACTTGAAATGACCATGTCCTATGATTTCTTTTTAATAATTACTGTATTACTTTTTCAATTTGTAATTTTTTGGAAACTGCCCTTTCTAAATTAAGCTAGAAACCATAAAATCATAATCCTTCCTTCTGAGAATGGATTAACTACTCCCCTATATATGCAGATGCTATACGCTGGAGTGAGTAGTTAGTTCATTTAAACGGCCGCTTGGTGTCTTCCCACTAACTAATAAACAAGAATGGATTAGTGAGAAGTGGGAGGGACGATAGGGACTCGTTTAGCATCGCTCGTAATACTCTCTCATTCTCATCGCTCCTGGCAGGAAATGAATTTGGATCCCCACTCGAGCAGCGTAAATATTGAAGAATATGAATTTGGATTTTGGAGTGAAGACCATAAAACCAACACGCCATCAATCAAGAGATTTGAGAATGAGCTAGCTATTGATTCCACTTGATTGATACCTACTACAACGATAATAATAGCCTCTCACAACAATGAATATAATTAAATTGGAAGAAAAATATAGATAATATATAATGAGAGCGCTATAGCAGAGGCTCTCTCTTATTCTTTCTTTATGTGCACACACACTTGTTGTTTTGCAGAGCAAATCCTGAGCGGAGAAGTACTCAAGGACACTTGCGGACAACCTTTCCGGTGGATTTATTGACTGTGGTGAGCTTGTAATAGCAGGGACAGGCTTCGTAGTTGCCAGAAGTTCCAGGAGGGACGCAGCTGCACTTGGCACAGCAGCTCCCGCAAGCCCTCTTGCAAAGATTAGGCCTCTTTGTCTTCGAGCATCGATACCCACAAGCAGCACCACAATCTGAATTAGTACACGACAGAATCAAATGAAAATCCGCATTGAACCCAGATAGGGAAATCTACTGTGAATGCAAGTTAACGGTATGAGGATTTAAAGTCATGCAAATTCACTGAAGTTCACGGTACCTATCGGCTTGGGGGCTGGCAGAGGGCTCGGACTTGGACTTGGAATCCCTTTGCTCACCTGCCAAAATTATTCACACAAACGGGTTATTCCAAATTGCCAGAAAAGGTTGATTCCGCGCTCCATTTTTTTTTTTTGGCCTTCATAAATTCAAAAAGAAGAAGAAGAAGAAGAAGAAAAAGAAAAGGTGGCAGGGCATAAAGGGAGATTGTACCACTTGGGCGGCGTCAGTGAGGTGGATCAGCAGAAGAGCACTCAAAATGAGAAAAGCACAGGCTTTGAGAATTGCCATCGTCTAAGAAAAACACACAACTACTACTATTATTAGCAGCAAGAAGCTGAGAGCAATGGGCAATATGTAGATGGATTTGCTAATCGCTACAGCTAGTGAGATCAGATGGGATGTGAGGAAATGAGGGACAGGAGAGATGTATATATAGCAGAGGAGAAGGGCAATTGAATTAAGTAGTACAGGGACAAAAGTGGTGGTGGGGTTGTACTTTGGAGTTAGGATTTAGGAACTTAGGAGCTGGGGTTAGGCTTAAGCAAGGGCGGGAACATTTTCTTTCCCACTTGCCTCACTAATCACTAGGTTTGTAACACGGCTTGAGCTAAATTGAGCAGGAAATTGCTGGGAAGGTTGGTTTTGCTGTACCACCTCGAGCAGGGATCACTATTTCAATTTAATATAGCAAAAAATGGCCAAGGTCAGCTTGTAATTTAGAGTGGCATTCCAGATACTTCAATGGAGACATTACACTCATCGATTTGTGGGCAATAGTGGTTGCACAAGTGCAAAGGTGACAAAGGAAGCATCTGTGAAATTGGAATAAATGCCTTCATCTAACTATTTTATGAGCATGTACGACTCATCTCCTTGAAATTCTGCCCATGCAAATGCAGCATTGCCGATTGCTTATGGTTTGCCAGGAGTTTCGCACCGTCTCTTTCTGTGAATTGGTAGTTCTCAGACCAATAATATCTCACAATTTGCCACCCTGGAATATTAAGGTTTGTACTAAGCAAGCTGTAACTGTGCTCGTTATTCACCCCTTTGCCTTTTGGACGCGCTTTCTGTAACAAATAAATTTTGTTTTTGAAGACAAAACACATTACTAATTGTTGAAAGCACATTTAACTGGTGGAGATACTTATGAAAGTCTAATTGCATTTATATTCTAGAAACGGCCATCTTCAATAATGCCGTTTATGGTTTTGGTCAAAAGAGAGAAAAATTTTACCTTTTTATGGTTGGGACTTGGGATGAGGCCATCTTCAATCCATTTATTTTATATTTGGGAAGTCAGCTTGTTTGATAATCTAATTCAATATTTAAACTTAATATGGGTTCAAATTTTAATATGTTCAGACACTTTCGATAATCAAAACTAGAATAAAATATCTGAATTAATTAAATGATATTGAATTTTATAGACAAAAGTTGCTCTAATAAATAAGTGATAAATTATTCATTTATCACTTAATGTGATATACACTTAAATGTATCAAATTTAATACTTATAATTCAGTAATTTAATGAATTTCAAATTTTAAATTTTAATTTTATCGAACGCACGGTAAAGAAATTAAGAAAAGGTTAGTTCAAGTTTACCAATGTTCTTGATTTGTCTTAAAGATTAGACAATCGGCCCAAATAGTTGTGGGCTCAACCTTTCTATTTCACTAACGGAAAGGATTTATGCATTTTCTCGGTCGCATTAAAACGACATTAAACCCTTTAATGGGCCTTGTTGAAACCTTTTTTCTAGTTATATTACGACGAACAGCTTTGTGGGACAACGTGGAGACATTTTATGGGCTAACTCTGTCTATGTCCGCAAAGAGCCATTTTGGAACATTTGGGGAAAAAAAGTCACTCAGGGTTTAGCAGGTCTACTACCCCTCGGTAAGAAGGAAAAAAAAAAAACTAGCCCTTTGACAAGGATTGCATTAGATAATAAGATGGACGGATTATAAATAGGAGATACTTTGTTCAAAATCTCCCACTTCAAAAGAAGACAAAAAAAAGTCTACAACCTCTATTAGAATAACGTCAAGGACACCCAAAAACTACCTCGAAAATATGGAAAGGCTGCACGCCAATAAATTTCTTGAAAACTTGATTTTATAGGTTGATTTCTTTGAACCTCATCTAATCGACTCATTGCTAAATTGGTCTCAGAGCTGAAGCAGCAGACTGCATTTGGCCTTGACATTTTTAGCTTGTTTGTTGCTGTTTACTGTAACACAACAAAAATCTGGCTACAAACGAAGCAAATTAGTTATAATCTCTAGTCTTCTAATTAAGCTTCCCAGATGATGCCTTCAATATATAGTAGTAACCCATCAAAATAAAAAAACAACGAAAAGGAAAATCAAACCTAAACTTGCTTTGCTTGGTTTAAGCCTAACTACTGACAACTGCGCATTCAAGTCGGGGGCAGATGTGAAACTTGCACTTTGGCCTCATGTCTCATGTGTACCTAACAGTCTCTTAACTCACGCTTACCCATCCGTTAGGCGTCAACAACATCTGTATTTTTATTTTTTTTATAACGCCATATCAAGTGTAATTTAATCTACTCCTACTCTTACAGGAAGACTCTATTCTAGGAGATGGTTCAATTGAGTCGAAAGAACCTGACGGGAACTGAACCATCATCAGACCAGACACATTGATGGGAGGTAAGATTTGAACCATTTACCTCTCACCCCATAATTAATATGGTGGTCAGCTTCTCTAGAGGGAGTTAACAACATCTATATGGAGAACGCATTTCTCGTCGGGAATCCGATAATATGCAGACGCATCACTTTGCTCAAATTAGTCATCATTTGCTTTCTTTGATGTAGAATCTCAATTTTCAAGCCAAGCCAAGTGGTGAGAATTAGTACCAAGCAAGCCATTAACGCAAGCAAAGATCATATGCTAATTCAAGTATCACAAAGCCCGCCATGCTGTATTCGGATGTCCACGTGTTGGTAGTTGTCTCCAAGAAGGGTAGCTAGCTAACTAGCTGCCACGCCATTGCATTTCCCCTCCTCCTCTTGCTACAAACCTGTGCCGTTCAATCAATCTAACCTCCCCAAACCAAAATTCCTAATAGCCGTTCAATATAGACTTACCAACCACTCTCTATATATATGAATCAAAAAACATTATTGTTCTTCATCACAAGAATCGTGTTGGTCCGCCGATATGTAATTCATTGTATCCAGTGTAGGCAAAACAAGGAAGAAAGCTGACATACTGAAACAGTGAGACAGATGGCTCCCTCAACTCTCACAGCTCTAGCAGAGGAGAAGACGCTTCAATCAAGCTTCATCAGGGATGAAGATGAACGTCCCAAAGTGGCCTACAACCAATTCAGCAACGAGATTCCTATCATTTCTTTAAAGGGTCTTGATGACACTGACGGTGCAAGACCTGAAATTTGTAAAAAGATTGTGGAAGCCTGCGAAGACTGGGGGATTTTCCAGGTTATTGATCATGGGGTTGATGACAAACTCATTTCTGACATGACCCGCCTCGCTAGAGAATTCTTCGCTTTGCCACCTGAAGAGAAGCTCCGATTCGATATGTCAGGCGGCAAGAAAGGGGGATTTATCGTCTCAAGCCATCTACAGGTATATATCATGCATTTTTGGATCATACTCTTCTTCCATTTTTATCTCTTCTGGTTTGTTAATGACTACTCTGGACAAATTTTCATGAATTCAAGTCTCGAAATTCTATAATATCAGTAATTGGCTCGTGTCAATTAAGCACGCAACCACAAATTGTAATGGTGAGGAGAGATGGACGATTCTTGATTTCAAGTCTGAATCCAATTGAACTAAATTGGCCAAATGGATGCATGATCTTGAAACAATTATGCAGGGTGAAACTGTGCAAGACTGGCGTGAGATTGTGACATATTTTTCCTATCCAATTCGGGCAAGGGATTCCTCAAGGTGGCCAGACAAGCCAGAGGCATGGAGGGCTGTGACAGAGAAATATAGCGAGAAGTTGATGGAGCTGGCCTGTAAACTGTTGGAGGTATTATCAGAGGCAATGGGATTGGAAAAGGAAGCCTTAACTAATGCATGTGTGGACATGGACCAAAAAGTTGTGGTGAACTTTTACCCAAAGTGTCCACAGCCTGACCTCACATTGGGCCTCAAACGCCACACCGACCCTGGAACCATCACTCTCTTGTTACAAGACCAAGTTGGTGGACTTCAGGCCACCAGGGACGGTGGCAAGACCTGGATTACCGTCCAGCCTGTTGAAGGTGCTTTTGTTGTTAACCTTGGTGACCATGGCCATGTAAGTAAACTAAATCTCCTCGTAATTTACTCGCAAGATGTTAGAATTCCATTCTCAAATTGCTCTGCAGCTGTAGCTAGGTGGTAAACTCCTGCTTCAGAAGATATCAGTGGTCTTAATACTTGAAAGCGATTGAGAACAATTGTTGTTTTCCCTATTGTTGATAATGTGTGTGTGTGTGTGTAAGTGTGTGCGGTTTGAGATAGTAATCCATGATGAACCTTAGTTGTGAATCTTTATTTGCTGCTTGGCTTGGACAGTACTTGAGCAACGGGAGGTTCAAGAACGCAGATCATCAGGCTGTGGTAAACTCAAATTGTAGCAGGTTGTCCATAGCCACATTTCAGAACCCGGCACCAGAGGCAACTGTGTATCCACTGAAGATCCGGGAGGGTGAGAAGGCGGTGCTTGATGCTCCCATGACCTTTTCAGAGATGTACAGGAAGAAAATGAGCAAGGACCTTGAGCTCGCGAGGCTGAAGAAGCTGGCCAAGGAGCAAGAGTTGCAAGCAGTTGAGAAAGCCAAGTTGGAGGCCAAGCCCATTGATGAGATTTTTGCTTGAAACCTCCATAGTTTGTTGTTTCACTACTATTACTACTTGTTTGTGTTATGCATTCTCAAAATTAGTGTTGTGGATTTCATGAATAAGAATGTATGTTGCCAGAAGCAAAGCATGAACTTTTATTCAGATTTCTCAAAGTAATTTCCAAGACGCTATATTCTTTTTCTTTTTCTTTTTCTTTTTTAAGCTTTTATATGATAGACCGTGAACATTAATTAAGCGATTATTACAGGTGGGAAAGAAAGCAAGAGCACTTGATGAACCATGAACTTGGTGCTTGTTAGGATCGAAAGTATTTAAATTCAAAGGTTTAAATTAAGTGGACTAAAAAATGCTCATTAACCACTTATTAAAAATATTTTTTAACAGGTGAAATTCAATTGAGTGCAAATAAATGTGTGTGTGAATATGTTATATGCTTTTCTACCGGTCCCAAGGGACACACGTTATTATATTACATTAATTATTATCAAACATAGCATATGAATGCACAAACTTACATTTATTGCACTCACATTTATTTTTTTTCAAATAAATATCAAGTTTATCAAAATTAACGCTTAAGGCCTCCCTTAATGAGTACCAAATAGATTTTAAGCACATAATTATATTAAAGAAGTACCTCAAGTGCTTCGTTTTCTTGAATGAGTAAAGTTAAATTGAAAAAAAAAACAAAAAACAAAAAACACATGTTTAAAAGGGTAATAAATGCTGGTCTATGTTTACATATTAATCATATATGTACTAACTATATAATTGGCAGTATATACACTAACATCTTTGAGTATATCTTATATGTGCAGAAAAATAAATTTCAAATTCATATTAAGATTAAATAGCAGACATCAAAAAGGTATTAGTGTTACTCGGACACAAAGATTAATCCTGTATTTCAATGACAAGTTTGGGTGTAAATTAAGTGTGTTGACATCAAAAGCTTGTCATCCCAGCAAATTTTTTTTTTTCCCAAAACGTTAAGATAATTTCATTCATTGTAAAAAACTTTACTTGTCCGAGCAAAGGCTCAGTAAACTGTACGTTTAGTATTCAATGACGCTCAGAAAATTCCATTCCCCGCCCAAAAGAATGCCTAAGGTCGTCCCAGTAAAAGGTCTAACGGAAATCCAAAGCTTTTTTTTTTTGTAGGGGATTTGACCAATTATAGAGTCCATATGCACCCGTAATTTCGCCATTCAACACTTATGGGAACGAAATTCAAATCCTACACTAAAGTATCTGATTTTCGTCCAATTAGTTTATGCAATGTATTGTATAAAATTATAACTAAGAGTATGGCTAACCGATTGCAGCATATTTTGCCCCATATTCTTGACGAATCCCAAAGTGCTTTCGTCAAAGGTCGTCTTATTAATACTGATAATGTGATTGTGGCAGTTGAGATGTTTCATTGGCTGGACCATCGAAAGGAGAATCAAGACAAGTACCTAGCCTTGAAGTTTGACATGAGTAAAGCATATGACAGAGCAGAATGGAATTTTCTGGAGCATATGCTTAATGCTACGGGTTTCCCAAGGAAATGGAGCAGACTGGTAATGGATTGTGTGAGGTCAATTTCTTTCTCAATTTTAATTAACGGAACCAATCTGATTGTTTCACTCCTTCCAGAGGTCTAAGGGCAAGGCGATCCTTTGTCACTTTATTTATTTATTTTATGTCTGATGGACTTTCATCTCTTATCAGGAAAATGGAAAGACAGGGCCTTTGGAACGGAATAAGATTGGGTAATGGAGGCCCTTTGATTTCCCATCTTTTATTTGCTGACGACAGCTTGTTCTTTGTCAAAGCTGATGAACAAGGTATTCAAGCAATTATGGAAGCCCTTAAAACTTATGAAAGGGCATCGGGGCAGAAGGTGAATCTTGGTAAATCGCGACTCTATTGTGGCAAGAACGTATCAGAAGAAATTCTGTGTGACAAATTAGGAGTACAAGTTGATGATGGGAAAGGCGCATACTTAGGAATGTCGTATATGATTGGCAGATCAAAAAATGAAGTCTTTGCGTTTGTCAAAAATAGAATATGGGGTAAACTCAAAGGCTGGAAGGAGAAAATCTTATCACGAGTTGAAAAAGAAGTGCTAATCAAATCGGTGGTTCAAGCTATTCCAACGTACATGATGTCTTGTTTCTGACTCATCACATCGCTCATAAGGAGTTTCTGGCGGGGCCAAACGGGTGAGGAGAAGAAAATATGCTGGTTAAAATGGGAAATTTCATGCAAACCAAAGGCAGAGGGTGGCATGGGTTTCAGGGATATGGAATCTTTCAATCTAGCACTCTTAGCAAAGCAGGGATGGAGATTAATCAAAAATCCAGATTCTTTGGCAGCAAGAGTTCTAAAGGCAAAGTACTTTGCTAAAATCGTGTTTCTCTCAGCTGAGATTGGGTCAAATTCTTCCTACTTATGGAAAAGCATCTTGGAGGGAAGGAAGCCGCTTAATAATTTGATGGAATATTTGATGTTAAATTAGCATATCATTTGGCAAGAAACTCTAAAAATCTGGGAAAAGGTGAAGAGGGATTATCATCGAGTGGCAAGGAAAAGAACTTTGGGAATGGATTATGGCATCTAAACATTCCTCCAAAAGTCAGTGTGTTCATGTGGAGGGCATGCTCAGGTATTTTACCCACTGGGCATAATTTAAATGCTAGAATAAGATGTGAAAATAAAAATTGCAGATGCTGTGGGTGTGAAATGGAAACTGATAAACACATATATTTTTTTGAGTGTGAGTTTGCCCAAGAAGTGTGGAAAGGACTTCACAAACGGAAGTAGTTGGAGAACTCTTTTGCCCCTAATTTCAAGGAATGGTTTGGTTGGCTTATGAATTCACAAGGAAAACAAGAAGCAGAGTTAGCAGCAGTAATTACTTGGCTAATTTGGAGATGCAGAAATGAGAGGATTTTTGAAGGAAAAGTAAGGGATGCATGCGCTCAGAGTTGGTGAATATGCAGTAGATTTCTTGCAGGAGTACTGAAATATACACTGCAAAGCTGAGTTACCAAAGACTGATAATCTGACCAAGTGGGTAGCTCCAGAAGAAGGTATTTTAAAAATAAATGTTGATGGAGCCTTCTCTGATGCTGGGGCTGGAATTGGAGTTGTGGTGGTGAGAGACCATCAGGGACAAGTGGAAGCTTTAATGGCTGCAAAGAGTTTCTGAGGCCCTTAATGCAGAGCTGCGCATGTGGAATGCTTGGCTTTTCTTAAAGCTTTACAGTTTGCCAAAGATTTTGGTATTTCTCACCTCATTCTAGAAGGGGATGCCTTGGGCATTGTCCAGAGAATCAATAGTACGAGTCTTGACTTATCGGTGTTAGGTAACTTGATTAGAGGCATTAGAGATATGCTGAAGGATTTTTGTTACAAACGGGTTTCCTGCTCATTTATTATTGTGTCATTTGTCTCTGTCACTTGAGGGAAGTCACGTTTGGTTTGTAAATTTTCCAAAGGAGATTATGTACGCTGCAAATGCAGATTTACTTTAATGAAGTTCAGTTTCATTATAAAAAAAAATAATAATAAAATAAAATTCCGACACAAGTATTTTGACCGGACTGATCAATACAACCCTTCTCTTAGTGGATTTCAGCTCATCATTGGTTAAATTTGACAACTGGGCCTAGTATCCTTGACACTTTCTTAGGCTCGAGCCCGCATCTAAATAAAACCCTTGCACGACCCCCGTGTGAGGCTGATTTTTGCCCAGAATGTTTGTTTGTCAATCTTTTTTGCCCAGAATGTTTGTTTGTCAATCTATTCCTACTTTTGGATAGAGATGTCAATTGGATTTTTTGAGCTTAGTTTTACCAAGTTCAAACTCGGCTCATAAATTAGATGAATTTTTGGATTTTGAACTTTTGAATTCTGATTGATATTAAAAGACTCAAACTAAGGTCACACTATTATATGAGTTTCAGGCTTATATTGGGTTTGGTCCAAACTCATAATTAAATACATAATTATATATAATATATATTTTATAATTATGAATTAATACAAATTTATGTGTAAATTATTAACATTTTATGCCACAATATGTATAATTAAAAATTATAGCTATTATTATACTCCCTTCATCCCATTTTATATATCATGGTCAACTTTGCACACAGTTTAAGAAAAATAAATTTTGACTAAAACACATAAACTACTAAAAAATGTCTTTTCATTATTGCCCTTCAATTAAACCTTAAAAATTTGTAAGTCGAGTTTGGAATTTTTAAAAAGGCACAACTACCTAAAAACAAAAAAGATAGTTCGTAACATGATTTAATAAGAGAATATGACATAAATGCTTTATCTTGGGAGTTGTATTAAGGGTATAATAGAAAAATTGGATTTCATTTATTTTTCTTTTAAATCATGACAAGTATTTTGGGACAAATCAAAATAAAAATCATGACATATAAAATGAGATGAATGGATTGTATATTTTACACATGTAATTATACTCATATATGGGCCGGGCTTAATCAGGTCTGAGTTTAGTATGACCCAAACTCAACTCATATTTAGTTTAGACCTAATATTGAAGCACAAGTTCTGCTCGGTTCAATTAAATCTTAGGGTCAATGAACTTTTTTTGGGTTGAACAGATCGATTTTGGATTGGTCCGATCCTATTGACAGTGGTATTTCTTTTGGATTTGAGGTTTAGTCAGGAGGAAAATGAAATACGAAAGTTGCAAAATGTCCTTGCTTGTTTACTTAAAGTGACGACAAGTTAAAAACTACTTAAGATTTACAAAAGAAATTGTTAATCATTTTAACAACAATTTTTTTTTTTTTTTTGTAAAAAAATGGTGAAAATACATCAAGATAAGCAAGTGGGAAAAAAAGAAGAAAAAGAGACAAAGATAAGCAAGTGAAATTTATCTTTGAATCGTAAGGTAAAAACAAGGAAATAAACAAGCATCACTCGCCTTTTATTTTCCAGTTCTTTTTTATTTTTGTTTTTACCTTTAATTAAACTTGTAGGGCCCTGCGTCTTTAATTTATGGTACTTTAGATAGGGGGACATGAGTTGCAGCACATTCAACCTTCAATTAGATTTTTCAAATTTTGAACTGCAGTTAAATCTTCTCTTACCAAATTCAAGATCCAAAACGGGCCTATACTCCCATACGAAAACAGGCGCAGTTGGTTGGTATATTACTTCCAGCATTAAAAAATGCAGGCACGTATTAATCCAAGAAACTGCAGGCAATTCTCGTTCTGACTGATCTTTTTCGGCAACGGTAATCCAAGAAACTTCTAATTCAAGCCCGCAGCTTTGTACTGAAATATGTTTCTTCCACGCCATTTTACAGCTTCTTTGGTAATTGAAAACCAGGAATTCAGCAACAATAATACACTTCGTAATGGAGATAGTTACAAAAGAAAAGAAAAGAAAGCAACCCATTATCGTGGACTTGACACCTCAAGTCCTCGCCTTCACGTAGCCCTTATCTTTCTTGCAAGTAACACAAAAAATTGGCCTTTGCTGTCTAATCTTGTGGGTCAAACAAAACCTGCAGCATTTCAGCCTACTTCCTGATTCCCTTTTTCCTGCTTTTACTCTCTTTTAACACCGACACGAACTTCTAGGCAATTGATCACGTTCCAAATTACATGGGTTTTGTACTTGAAAGGGACGGAAAAGGCCGTGAGTCAGATACTCAAGATCGTGTTCATATTAATCTGAAGAAAATTTAACAAAGAAAGATTCCACAAGCAAATGATTAAGCATCACTCTATTTGTCTTCAATAATGTGCTGTCAACACAGATTTTGTTATGTCTTAGGACACGGTGGAGTGCTAGCTCCACCAACTGAGGCAATGATTAACCACTTCCTTTTTGTTTCCAAACCCCCTCTTTAGCTACTCGATCATTCCTCCTCCTAAAAGTCCCTAAAAAGCTGTTTAGCAAGACTATAAAACTCCCTAAAAATCTTGAATCTTGCTTTTGATCATCAAGATTCAACGTCTAAAATCTTGACGTGTTTTGAATCATAGATATGGACGGGAAATAAAACAATTGCCAAAACAATTTCGGCAGCCTAAATGGCCTATATAAATGACTGAAAACCACATAGCAGTCAAACACATTAATAGTATTATTATTTTTTGCTTAAGATTAGTAGTATTCAGGTTAAGTTTAATGTATTGGGATATGGCGTTGGCCAAATGAGATTTACCATACCGTACAGTTCTTGAATGGAAGGAAATAGAGGCAGATGATAATGGAGATGTAATGTGCCAATTAATTCATCTTAGTTGCTTGGTCGAGTCAAGTCTACTAGTTCTATTTTTATTCAACCAGTCTTGGTAAACTCGTACATGAGCTTTGAAAATAGAAATAGAAAGAGGAATAGTAGTTATTCTAGCAAAAAAGTGCTTCAATTTCTGCGAATTTTACCGTGTGAAATGTGAATATGCTGCTTCGTTTACTTATACAGGAGTACTTGTTTTCGTGTGATACTGCTATACTAGCTTGTTTGCTTGGTTCTTTTCCTACTTTGTATTCGGCAGCTCTTCCAATAACTTGTCATCCATTTTCTATGCATGAGAATCACGAAATGACAAATATAAAACTCTGTTATAGTGTTCTTACAGTCAATGAAGGGGACTCAGACAATGAATTCTTTTACATTAAGTTGTCAATTTCCTACAGCAACCGGCATCCCAACTGACATTGATGCGGGTTACCTAGTCAATTCCTCTTATTAAGAAATACCCAGAAGTTTGACTAGTTCCTTTTAATTTCTTTTTCAGGCATCAAGTATCCAAGGTTCAACATGGAGAGGGTTGAGTTGGATTGGGTGGTTAAAAAATATACCATTTCCGTGAAGGTAATTAGAAGGGAGTGTTGAATCTCCTCAATGAGAAACAAAGGTGTGAAATTATTGGATTAAACTATCTTAAAAACATGAGGAGATATTAATTGCTATTTATATGGATTGAACTCTAATAGCTCGCCCATATAATTGGTTTATATTATTGTTTTCTAGCTTTGACGTAAACTTTCTCTGAATTAATGATGAAGTGTGAACCATAACTTGAAGCGTGAGTGGCTAAATAGAGTGTGAAGATAGAAAGATAACCTTCTTTCTTGTCGTCTTCTTCTTTGAATATATGCGAATGGTTTTCGACTATTACAGTCCATTAGCACTTGCAAGCGCCTCCTACACTCCAGAGTAGAAAACAGATTTAGAGATGCAAATGAGTGGAACTTAATCGAATAACTCGCGGATTTGCTCGATCAAAGCTCGAGGTCGAACTTAAGTTGATCGAGTTCGAACAGTTCGAATTATTTGATGAATCAAGTTCAGACTTAATACATGAAGGTTGAAAGCTAGTCGAACTTAATCAAACACAACTGAGCTTCACACAAGTATATTTTATATTTATTAGTATAAAATATCTATTTTGTCCCTTTATTTAAAATAATACAAAATATAAATTTATATTTGTTAAATTCGATTAAACTCAATTAAGTTCGACTGAATTCAAATAAAACTTGATTCGATAAGCTCGAGTTCGAGTTCGAATAATACAAAATAAAATCGGATTCAAACTCGAACTATGATTCAATTTTTTTTAACTCGAGTCGAATTTAAGTAGTGTGCTGCTCGAGCGACTCAAGTTTGCACTCATAGTTTCACCATATATTTTTAATATATAAGAAGTTAAATCTATACTTATACGTGTAATTTATTGTAATTAAGAGCAATGAAATGTGAATTTGGATTTAATATCACGGCTAATGTTTCTCGAGCTCTCGTTGTCAATCTTTTTTATTTTTTTTTCGACAACGATAATATTTGTGTAATTTAATCTATCATATTTTAGAGAAAGGGGAGCCTAAAGAGACTGTGTAAGAGACTAACAGACATGCTGCAGATCTGACTAGACCCAAGTAACACAGCTAAAGAGCTCTCGTTGTCAATCATTGTAGTGGAACGCGAAAACTTTGGGATTGAGCCAACTTGATCGTACTGCAGATTTTTGAAGGAGTCGTAAAGAGACCTGGTCAATTCTTATATGTCGACAATTAGTGATCCAAATGCAGCAATTTGAGAGTTGAAACTTAAGGTTGTGTTTGGATTGCATTTTCCGTCATTTTTCATGGAAAAATTACTGTAGCGATTTGATATATGTGAGGGAAAAAGGTGATAGGGAAATGTGATCACGGAAAACGATAATATTTTCCGACGAAAACCTTCAATCCAAGCAAGGCCTAAGGTAATACACTTTCTCATTATTGAACGATATCTGATGATCAAACACGGTAGTCCAGAGGGGGATTACCTGTTAGCAGGGACGGGATAATTTGTCATCAGTTATTGTTTTATGGGAAAAAAAAATCATTTGACAAAAACTCATCACATTAAAGATGAACCCCAAAAAGAAAAAAAAAAAAAAAAAAGCACACAACAATTATCTCGAAAAAGAGAAGCCAACAAGTG